AAAAATCACTCTCGCACCATATTTTAATTTCAGGTTGCTATGTGTGAATGTATCAACAGCCAACAGGTATCTGACAAATATGTTTATTGTTGTTGGTAAGCTGTGGTAGTCATTAAAGAAGAACGAAAAATTGTTCTTATATTTTTTTGTTCCACTTGTCTTCTGGAGTAAAAAAAATTTTCCTAATTTTTTCAAATTTTTCAAATTATTTTTAGCGGATGCGAGCATCAGTTTTTCAAAAATGTTTGGTTTTTTAGTATTAGTTTTCTTTACGTATAAATTAAAATTAAATTTTTATATTTAAACAGATGGTATTGTATAAAATAGTATTACTATTTTTTATTTTTAATTAATTAAAGTAAATAATTAGAACTAGCTTAGGCCTTAGAAAGTAAAACTATGAAAATATTTATAAACTAACCCTTAATATTATCCTAAAATATTTGTTTTATGGGTTTAAAAAAGAATAAATATATTTACAGGGTGTAATGTAAAGTTCTACCGAGCTTCAAATGAGACATTCAGGATGCTTTATGGGTATAATAAATGGTATTAATTTTTTTTTAATTTTAAAATTATTTAAATTATAACTCGTATCTCATTAAAAAATGGTCTAACGAAAAAAATAATTTCAGATTTGGAGAAATCTGGAGAAAAAATCTTGTTAAATTGATATGTAACAAGGGTTTTATCGTATCTGGCCACATATACGTCCACAGGGTGACCACCGAGTGGCCATTGAGTGACCGGCATGTGACTAAAATCAACATATGGCACGTGACATATCATTTTGGGTTAGAATTTTATTCTCAATTCAGTGTTGTCCTTAGTATTGTTTTACATGAAATAATGTTTCGCATGCTATATGTTGATTTTAGTCACATACCGGTCACTCAGTGGCCACTCGGTTGTCACCCTGTGGACGTATATGTGGCCAGATACCAAAAAATAATGTTACATATCAATTCAACAAGATTTGTTCTCCTGATTTCAAATCTGAATTCATTTTTTTGCTAGATAATTTTTTAATGACATAAGGGTTCTATTTAAATTTTTTTAAAAATGAACACTATTTATTGTACCCATAACACTTATTGTATCCATGAATGTCTCATTTGAAGCTCGGTAGAACTTTACATTACACCCTGTATATATTTGTTGGGTGTCTCTATGGTCTAATTTAGTTTAAAAGTTGTATTTTTATATAAATAAAAAAATACTAGTTTATTCCTCTTATTCTACTGATGACTTTTTATGCAAACAACATATTGTGCTTAAAATTAATATTTAATATTTTTGAAAAACTAGTGATCGCATCATCTAAAAATCTAAAAGAAATAGCGAAATATTGTTTTACCCCAAAAACATAATATTATAAGAGGAACAGAAAACAATTAAAAATAATAATTTTGTCTATCCTAATTACCATATTGCCTAAATATTACCATATTTAGTTGTAATTTTCTCATGAATTAACGATGTCAGGCTGGGAGTGAAGCAAAGCGAAAGCGTTTCCCTTTCAGTATGGGCGATACCGAGATTAAAAATTACCATATTGCTTATTGGTAATAACGGTGACAAACTACTAGAAAAAAACAGAAGATTAGCCCCTATCATATCTACCCTAATACTTAAAATACATTTCTGTGGCTTTGGTCTAACAGGCAGAGACAAATGAGCTTTAAAGTTTTTATTTTCTTTTAGCGCTATGGATTTTTTTCTATAAACTCTTCATAAGTAATTCATTTTTTGGCCTCAAAGAGTATCATCTTCAACACAGTATATAAAGGATAGTTATTGCATTTAGCAGACTAACTCGTACATGCCCAAAATTGACACAGGCACTTTTAGACCCAAGCCACAAATGTATAATTGCAAGTGCTAAAATGAAAATACAGGCATTGCAGCTATAACAGAATACACCAAGTTCTTTATAAACAATGTAACGACTTGAATCAATAACATTTTTTAGCCCTTTCAAATACTATATTATAAATCAGTGTAGGTTGAAAAAACAATTAAGTTGTTATGGAACTTATATGCATTTCTACCTTAATGTCTTTTGGATAAACATTAAATTTATTTAGTATATTTATATATGTGTGCAATGGTTTTTATAGAACTAATAATTGAATCGCTTTATGCATAAAAAGTCTTAGTCCATAACATAAAACTTTTGTTATTTTTGAAAAAGTATTAAATTTTAAGACCTCTATTAATGTCAATAGCGATTGGATAAATTAAATTCTATAAGATAATTTTTTTTTTCAAAAACGCAGTCTTGATAGTTTGTATTATACACAATAACAAATGAAATAACTTTTGTTTTAATGAATATTTTTAAGATTTTTTTTTTTTATAATTTGTACTCATTTGCGCTGTAAGCACCAATAAGTTACTAAAGGTTAAAGGGTAGGATGGGAGATGGAGTGCGGTAGAGAAATGCGTGCAGATAAAAATAGCTCTAAGCGCTTACTCTACCGCACTCCACCTCCCATCCTACCCTTTAACCTTTAGTAACTTAAAAATTAATTATCCAAATCTTTTAACAAAATGGCTATATTGAAATTTAAAAAAAAATGTAACAAAAAAAATTTTAAAAAAATTAAAAAAAGTAAAATAGTTAAGTGCAATAAAAAATGTAGAGCTATATTATAGCGCAAATGAGTATAAATTGTTTAAAAAAAAAAACTGAAAAATATTCACTAGAAGAAAAGTTATTTTATTTGTCAAATCATTGTGGGCCATCCTGTATAATATAGTATTTATTATTATACTGTGGCCCTTATTATAAAAATTTATAATTATATGTAATTAATACACTTAAAATTTATTTTAATTAATCATCTTAAAAACAAAAAGTCTGTGTCATAAAACCAGTTTTATTAGCTTTCTAAACAACGAAATATATACCTTAATATTAAAAATAAATTAAAATTAAAAATATAGGTATTTGTATAAAATATAACAACAACTAACTTGTATTTTTGATAATATGATTAATCATTATTTTTGTAAATAGTTATCATAACATTAGAAACATTAATATGAGAATAACAGCCAACAGTCATATTGATAATATTATTTTCGCTGAAATGTGAACTAACGCCTAACATCCCTTTTCAACAAACCTTACCTGTATACTTACACCGTGAGATGGTTTCTTGACGAATTCGCTATCCGAGACTGGTCGTCAGTCCGTCGCCGTGTTGTTAGCTAGGTTTAGCTGTCATGCGTTTAAGTGTAAAACCAGAAATCGAAAATAAATAGATCTTTAAAAATTTGGAACTAGGTACCCACAATTGCTGGAATTACAATCTGATGCGAGGACGACGTCTATAGTCATATTTCAAAGGCATGATTCGACCCCATGATGGTTCGCACTGCGATACGGAAGGCAAGGGGAAACCACCGTATAAATCATCCCAAGAAATAGCAAAAGCTACAAACAAATCTCAGGATTGAATACTAAAGAAGAAGATTCGACCCCGAGACACAAATAAACATTAAAATTTTTCATTAATTTACCAGCAAATTTACCCTGAACCATACAACTAATCATTTTTAAATAAAAACTAAAATGTAGTATTTTATGGTTTTTGTTAATTTACAAAGTCCAAATTCATTGAGTTAAGTATTATGAAATGTATGTGTCACACACTAATATTAAACCAAATTTAAATTACAAAAAAACGTACAATATAAAATATTATCTGATAAATTTATGAGGAACTTTGTTAAATAGGGCCCACGCTTTTCTCTTATGTCAAAAATTAAAGATGTTTAACATTATTTAAAATTGTAGTTAGTTTTCGGTTGTTTTCAAAGTAATTGACATTTTAAATTAAATGTGCTACAATTGATTGGTAAATTGTTCTTGTAATAAAATTATTTTTTACTTTTTACTATTTTTTAGAAAAGCAGTTAAGAACTGATTAGTGTCAATAAGTTCAGATCACAAACGATCTACCGACTAAAAAAAGAATGTCCGGCGCTGCTGCTTGAATAAAAGTGGAGTATATTTGTTTTTATGTTTAAAAGAAGTATCTAAAGGTTAGACGGTTCAGAATTAAGTGTTTGGCGTTGTTTACTTTACGGGTTTAATAAGCAATGATTTAAAACATAAAGAAAATCTAGAAATCATTCGGCTAAAATATCAAATATCAGTAGTGTACTGTTACGGTGCAGTGGTGTACTGTTACGGTGCAGTGCAGTGAATGAATCACACACGACTGTCCGCCTTTTAAGGCTTAATTAAGGAATCCAGACGTGGTAGGAAGTTACTCTGTATCAACCCTATAATTCCTAGAGACTATTTATGTATTTTTATAATCACCTGAAAATCAAAAGGGTTGTCGTACCTTAAAATCAAGTAACTAAACTCTCAAATTGCAACGTACAATGTTATTTATTATACAAATTTAACGACGAGTAAGAACTAAGTTATCGATTAAAATATTAAAATGAATAAAAAGCAGTATGTATATAAAGGTTTTACACTTGTTACCTGGGTCCGTGTTAATTCGGATATAAAATAGGCGGAGTGACACACACAAAGAATATAAAAAAAGAGCCGAACAATTATTAGGTAATTACTTGTTAGTAAATAGGTGTTGTATGGTATATATTAAAAAAAAAAAATTACATTTCAAAGTTGGCTTATTTCTACGTTTTATTATTAGTGTGGCACAAATAATGTGATGGTGCATTTAACAAGTTTTTTTTGAGAAAAAATAGTTTTATTAGTTTCATATTATAATACAAAAAATGCAATTAATTTATCCTAATGGCCATGGAAAAAAGTTGCCAAAAACCATAACCATATACAATGTATTCTTAAGTTAAGGATGCATGTGCTTTGGGGTTAAACATGTTTAAAATTAAATTAAATTAAATATTTACAGTTAAATTAAATTATAAAGCTACCTATAATAATTGGACTCAGGATTTTCCGCGATAGAGAAAATTATATTGTAAAATCATAACTCATAATCTGTAATATGATACAAAAAATTGTACATTTTAATATCTTGCTGATGGCTAACTTGCGCTTTATATTATAATGTGCTTTGTGTAATTAATAGCTTTATATTAAATATATTTACAATTAAAACTAAAAAATATAAAAACAAATAGGTAAATAAAAAAACATACTTTGAGTTAATTAATATAAATTGGAATGGAATAATCACATAATTTTTGCTTTTGCTCTTTTAGAGCGAAGCATTTAATTATTATATTATAACGTTTTGAAAAAAAAGTAATGTTTTAAGCTACGAAATAGTACGTTTAGGCAAAAACCAATTATCTCAATCGATTTGTCGCCAGTTTTACTCTAAGAATCGATGTCTTACTCAATTTTGTCAAAACTGGAGATTACACGTTCAGAATGGAAACATCTCATTAATAAGGAACGGGGCTTTTAAAAATCACAGCAAAGTACGAAAAACGAAGAAAACGGTCAACGCAACGGATTTACGTCGGTCACGGAAACGACGTTTCGGAATTTTAATCACTTTAGCCGACTGATTTATTAGAAAAGAAACGATTGTAATGATATTATATTATTCAAATGTACAATTCTTGATTCGTTATGTTCCATAGTCCCAATGCTCAAATGACTCCTATTATGAACATTAATTTTGATATATAAATGTTTTTTTTTAAAAATTTTAGACGTACTCGTGTGTAGTATGACTTACCAGGTTAGCAGACAGTGAAAATTAATTTTGCAAATCTATGGCCACTCGAATATTGTTATCAGAGTTAGGATTATACCGTCGTTTTTCTTATATACCAGCCGGTATGTTTTGACCAGAAACCGGGTGTGTATACAGAGTGAATAAAAAAATCAATTGAAACGGAACTCTAGAAAAATGTGTAATTTTTCCGAAATATAAGACGGAAAAATTACACATTTTTAATTGTCTATGCTTTATGTTGGCTACCATATATTACGGTCACCTTAAATGGTCAATTTGGTCACCCAAATATGGTACCAGTTGAAACCAATGGAATTAGTCTATTAATTGCCAAGGTAAGTCTAATCAAGTATTTTATTATCTGTTACCATAAACCGTTCAACATTTATTGTTAGAAGCCATCAGAACAACGAGATTTCCCAAGAGTCCCTGTGTGAATTTAATTGTTTTCTTGTGTGGCGCTTATGAGTGGGAAAAAGGCTGAGTGGTTTAAATTTTTCACCATGAATAACGATTAATTAAATATTTATTAAGTATAAAATAAAAAATAGAAAAAAGGTCTCTGTTACTATTTAAAAAAGCGTATGTAATAGTTATAAGTTGAATTCATTTAAATATGAAGTACAAAATAGTGTATCATTTTTAAAATTTTACAAACAGTTGTGGGTAGAGCTTAAATTTATACTTGTAATTGTAATTTACTACGAATCGTCGAAAAAAAATTGTTTATGTTAAAGGGCTAGAAGAATATCTCAAACACTAATGTAACTAGTTAGACTGGAAAATTTACATTTACACTAACATTGACTTATCTTATTGTTATTACAACTATAATAATTATATTTTCTAGAGTTCGGTTTCAATTGATTTTTTCATTCAATCTGTATACACACCCGGTTTCTGGTCAAAACATACCGGCTGGTATATAAGAAAAACGACGGTATAATCCTAATTCTGATAACAATATTCGAGTGGCCATAGATTTGCAAAATTAATTTTCACTGTCTGCTAACCTGGTAAGTCATACTACACACGAGTACGTCTAAAATTTAAAAAAAAACATTTATATATCAAAATTAATGTTCATAATAGGAGTCATTTGAGCATTGGGACTATGGAACATAACGAATCAAGAATTGTACATTTGAATAATATAATATCATTACAATCGTTTCTTTTCTAATAAATCAGTCGGCTAAAGTGATTAAAATTCCGAAACGTCGTTTCCGTGACCGACGTAAATCCGTTGCGTTGACCGTTTTCTTCGTTTTTTGTACTTTGCTGTGATTTTTAAAAGCCCCGTTCCTTATTAATGAGATGTTTCCATTCTGAACGTGTAATCTCCAGTTTTGTCAAAATTGAGTAAGACATCGATTCTTAGAGTAAAACTGGCGACTAAACACGATTATTATTTTCTACGTATTAATCAAATAAAAAATAGGTGTTTCGATTTAAAAAAAAATTAAGTTTTTTTTTTACAAAAAAAATGATGCTTCTTATAAATAAAATGTTCATTATTCTGAAATTTATAACCGTTAAGTTTAGCAAAAATAGTTATATATTTTCCAAAGAAAAGTGTCTTTATGTCTAACGAATAATTTTGTAAAGATTTGTTGTAAATACTTATTACGTACATCGTTTTCGTAAACCATATTTGATATTGCCAAGTTGTTTAATTTTGTAACTTCTAGTTTTCAATTGATATCTAGTTTAGTTCATCTGCTGTAATTTCATTGATCTTAATAATACCTAAATAAAAAACATAATATTTATGATTAATAATATTTGTATGCGTTGATTTGTAAAAATAGTTATAATTGAAAATTACTTTTATAGCGTTTTCCACTCTTCTGAACTATTGCATCCAGGTGACAAATTAACCGGGATAATCGTAGTGAAATAAAAAAATGCAATACAGTATGCCCCAATTCTGTAGGTTAAACAAAATAATATTCATTAGGAAAACATTATAAATAACTAAATAATAATAATAAATATAATAATTAAAATTAATTTTATGTTTAACAACTCTGTGGCTTGGTGCAAGAAGGGCCAATGTCAAAATTTGTTAATATGATTTAATAATGATTTGTTAATTTGTTTTGATAATTCAGCTGTAGTCTAAATTATACCTGCTGTAATATTACTCAAAATTCTTATCTTTTATTATCCACCTCCCGTCATCAGTCATTCTCACTTTCAAATGAATATAACTTTTGAACGGATGAATAAAAATACAAATTTTTTTTACCAATTCTTTTTTCAAAATTATTTTGAACAAAATGGCTATCTTGAAAAAAAATAAAAATATGTAATAAAAAATTTTAAAAAACTATTAAAAAAAGTAAAACAGGTAAGTGCAATAAAAACCACGGTGCTTATAGCGCAAATGAGTATAAATTATTAAAAATAAAAAATCTCAAAAATATTCACTAGAACAAAAGTTATTTCATTTGTCAAATCTTTGTGGGTCACCCCGTATACTATAAACGAATTAACGCAGGTAGACGGACAGCGATGTGCTGTTTTTATTAACACTAACACATAACGTTTAACGTTAATTTAAAATATATATGCGTTTCATTCCATTGGAATATCATCCTGTATACTATAAACGAATTAACGCAGGTAGACGGACGTATATTATATCTGTACGACGTTATTCTTTATCTATGATTATTATTATATTTTGTTTGGTACTTGTTATTATTATTATATCAGGCTTTCAGTAAAAAAAAATGTAATTTTTTAATTTAAACTGCCCCTACTTGCCCCCCCCTACGGACGCCCTTATCTGAGAGGTGGTAATTAGTTTTTGTGGAAATTCTCCTCATCTATACATTTTTAGTCAAATATGATTAAGTTAAAACTGTTTGTGTAATGATATTTTATTGAATACGTGTACAATATACACTATACGAATAATACTATGAATAATAAAATAATAGTAATATATTGAACTACGTTATATTTAATTAACGTGTTCAGAAAGCTGGAAGTGTCTTAATCGAACTATGATACTTTTTTGGAAAACTACAAACTTAAAAATAGTGCTTTTCAAAATACCTACATTTATTTCTTAGTGAGAAATTTGTTGAAAAATAAATAAATGTAGCACTAATTTTAAGCTTCAAATATTTTAGAATCCCAAGGCTCCCTCCCCTAATCTCCGCTAATAAACTGTCAAAACGTTTTTTAATGTATCTAAAAATAAAGTTAAAAATAAGTATAAACCTATATGTACATGCGCTTAATTTTATTCATTGAATTTGCACAAGATAGTATTTACCTTTATACATAATAAATAAATATATACTTTAATTGTATTATAATAAACTATATTTTAAGCCTTCATAGATAATTAACTTATAGCTAATAATAACGATTTTCAATTGATATTTGCAAATTTTTCTTAATTATGTTCAACATATAAATGATTTAATATTGGTTGTTTATACAAGATTACATTAGATAATATTATGCATTCAATTTTATAGCGTAAAAACTTAACTACGCAGAATGCGTTTAATCGTTCTATTGTCGGCGTTGTGGGAAAATATCTAATATGTAACCGAAAACAAATGATATTAAAGAGATACTATCACATTTGATTTTTAGAAAAAAAAACAGTAAAACGCAATCTGCGTGGATATATTTTGGTACAAATAATGTAGTTATTAACGAACGTTGTTGATGGTCTGATAAAATAACTGATTGTACAAATAAATTTAGTCTGGACAAAAAATTACCTACGAGTACATCAAACTTTTTAATAATTAGGTTGTAAAACGTCCTTTTAACTCCGAATCCGAAATCCTATTATTTGTACATCTTTTAATGCATTTTCAGATTCGTCAGTCGTTCAATTATTGCTCTGTTGACTGTTTGTCTGTAGACATTTTTTAAAAAGTTTATTCAGGTGTTAGAGGTCTACGGCGTTTATACAATTAAAGCATTATACGCTTTTATTGGGTATCACAAACGAGGCATACACATTACGGTCGATTGCAGTCGCGTCTTAATTGTATAAGGGTGTATCAAATATTGAATTAGTATAAGTTCAATTATACGCCTTTGCCTAATAATCAAAGAGCAGTAAAAAAATGCATTTACCATGTAAACATTAGGGCGGAATTGGTAATGAGATTCAAGCTTGTTACGGGGAAAAAAGTATTAAAGGGGATAAATAACGACAAATTGTCAGATCAAATAAAAAATAATATATTTATAAAAAATAAAACAGTGCGAGTGACGAGTGTTTCATACTTTTATAAAAATAAATACCAATTTTTTATTTTCTATACAATTTTTTTTTTGTATTATAGACCATAAATATTTCATACCTAATTAAAAATAAATACAAATACAATAACTTTTATTATTAAATTTCATTTTAAAAATCCAAAACAGCTTTGTTTAAAATTAGAATATTTACTATGAATTTGTGTTACATCACTGTCGATTCCATGTGGTATGCAAAACGAAAAACCATAACAAATTAACCAACTATATAAAATATTTAGCACATAAAAGAAAGATGTAAGCTTTGATATAATATAATATTAACAGTGAAAACTAATTACCAATCTAATGCATTTGATTTGGATATTGCGATTTAAGAGAGTTGTACAAACAGAACTACTGATGAACAGCTCTAATAATTAATAGAAGGTGCAGAGTTAGACTTTAAACAATGTTTAAGAGAAATATATTTAGTTATTATTGAAACCACGAATACCTTAGGTAATATTGATCTTTTTTTGTATCATAACTTTAATAAATACTATAAAAAAGTTTAATTAAAAAAATTAAGAAAAGGTGAAATCGTAAAAAATTCATCCAAAAGCACTTACGATTTTTTTTAAATTTCATGTAGAGGAAACCAAAATAAGCATATAAAAGCTAACTATAGTTTACTAAATACTAAATGCTATTAGAAATATCATTTGAAAAATTCAATAAAAGTTGAAAAAACGTGATTTAATGGTGAATTATAAATTTAAAACAACTTCCGTAGCGCAGAGTAAACGTTCTTAACTGGCTTTAACTGTTTGTATTTTTTTATCTAAGGTATTTATTGAGCTGTACTACTGGAAGTTCATTGAAATGTTTTTTTATTAAATTGTAAAACACATTCGGCATAAAAAAAAAATCGATCAATATTTTGGAGTACAGCTCGGTCATAGTTGGTTTGCTTATATAAAAGTAGTAAAATTGTAACTTTTTAGTTAATATACTTAACCTGACAACTTTCCAAGAACTTACAGCAGTTTAAAGTTAAATTTGGAACATTTAAAATTGTTTTTATAATTTTCAAAAGGGAGTAGTAACCTTGTAACCTTGTAGTTATTTATTTGTTATGAATATATCTATATATATATATATACAATTACATATTTTAAACACGTAGCGGTCTTAACTTATAGGCCCTAATAATAGTACAAAAAAGGAAGTTCCCACAAAAACGGTATATTAGTATTCTAACATCCGAGTTCGGTCTCTCCTGAAATAGCCATTCCGGGTTCACACTGAAAGAAAATTCGTATTCGCGTAGATGGCTGTCAAACGCCGAATATAGAAACCGCCTGGAGTGCACAAGCGGAAATCACTTCTCAAAGTACATTTATATACATTGACAGTATAGCTGTGGTCGATAGGGATAAAACCAAGTTGTATCAACAATTTTAAGTCACCGTGTAGAGCTAATAGTCATACAGTAGGTAATACGAAAATGAAATACTTTTATAAGAAGAAAATATGTCATTTCCACTGATATTCAGTAATAGCTTTTCCATTGTTGACAATTGAAATTGAAATAAACTGTCATCGTAGTAAAATGTTAGCACAGTAGGGGAAATAAGCAATTACACTATATTGATTGAAGTATGAAAAAGTTTAAACGAAATAAAATCGCCTACCACAATATGTAATACAGAACGACGTAAGACTCATTTTCTAGGAAAATGTTTTTCCCCTAAACTTTGAGGTAAGTATTTTACTATATTTTTCAATACGAAAAAAAGTTTTGCATTTATCGCTTATGATAAAAGAAGTATGGACTTCATTTTTTTCAAATGAGAACATGTGTTTTTAGTTCCAAAAATATGTAGGTTTGAATTTTGAATTTTCATCAATCTGTTCGTTTGCTATGACATTACAAAGATTTGAATTTAAGATCAATATTTCAATATTCGTTTGGTTTCTACAACAGTAGTACAATAGTTTTCCATTAAATAAAAATATTGACCCCCGTCGATAACACTTGTCACCGTCACTGTGCTTGAATATGTAGATAAGGTCCACTTGTCTATCATTATTACAAAACGTTTCATTATGTCTAGTTATTGGGTTCTCACATACAAAACAATGCGAACATAAATATGAATTTAGCAAACCGAAAACATATGATAATTGTAAGAGGAAATGTAATATATTTGCAAAGCATATAGCAAATTAACAGATTGACGAAAATTATAAAATTCAAACGCTAACATTGTTTGTCTACATATTAATGGAATTAAAAACATGTGATCCATACACGCATTACGTATAATGGATGAAGATAACTAACCTAACCTAACATACAAACATAGGAAAAACATTATTATTAAAACATTCATATTTTCTGAGACAATTATTGCCTTACATCAAATGGATACACTCTGTATATGTGTTATGGTAAGTTGTATATAGTACTGTCAAATTAAGATCAGTAACACAAATTTAATATAATATGTAACATAAACTGCAACTAAATAAAAGACTTTTACAAAAAAAAACACTGATTTGTTTATTTCTTGCTTCTTGCGTGAAACACAAAAGTATTTTTTTCATGGGAAGTCTATAAGGTTCTATATGATGGTGGTGATCCATTTTGTGTAATTCCGGCGATACTGTTTATCGCATGCAAGCGTTATCACCAGGGTCGTTTGACGATATTAAATTATGTTATGTATGATTAAATATCAATATCCTTCATGAAATTAATTAAATCACGATTTAACAACATGTTATACCGGTAATACTATGTACTGCATATTAATGAACGGGCGTTCGTGAATTGTCACCTTCCATATTAAATTTAAAAACTAAGCCTCCGAAATGTTAAAACAGTTATAGGAAACTAATTTATTAGCTGTACCCGGTAGTAGAAAAAAATTCAAATATGTGTAATAAGTTGTAATAGAATGTGTTATAAATTATGTTGAGTTGATATTATTTTAAAACGTTGACAGTCTTTTGATCCAGTCCTATCGTCTGAGGTTGCGTTAAATATTAGCCCTTTGAGTGTTTTTTGTTTAATGTGTAATAGAAGAAAAGCACGGGGAAGCGGCGGTGAGTGGATATTTTAAATAAGTATGAAAACGTCTCTTAATCGGGGTGTGCATGTGTGTTTGTTTACTACAAGGGCTCAACTTCCTGCCTCTAGACTTACTATTACACAGTGTTATAATATAGTATACAGTACATACCTTGTCGTGGAGTTACTCGAAGCTCTATGACCTTGTCGATATTCCTTGAGTATGTGATCTTGATATGTCGAAGTGAACGTTGTTTTAACGCGAATGTTTTCATTCATAAAATATTTCAGACACTGGTGTTTTAACGTTATCTTACGACCATCTGTTTCTCGTTAAAGTGTAATTCAGTACACGGTCTACCAATGGTTTTATAATAATCAATGCGCTTGTCAGAAATAACAACGTCTACTGAGTTATTATAAGCCGACTACATTCCTTGCTGATCAAAAATAGTCACATGGGTGTAATAGGATTGTTCGACCGCTAGAATTAATGACCTTTAACGACACTTTTAAGAGGTATAGGTATAGGTATATGTATGAACGAAACAACAACAGTGTTTTTATTGCTTAATAATGACACGTGTGTGATAAGAAACTCGTACGGTTTTAAGTAATTGAATTGTAATGAGTATAGTATTTTCATATATCGCTACGGACTCGGCGTATGTATGTGTAAGGATAATAAGGAAGGATTATGTTATTGGTGGCCGCGGCGGACTGATAACAGCTACCCGACTTTGGCGTCCACACAATAAGGAGATGAAGGTTGTATGAGAGATGTGAGAGAGCAACTGCGCTTCGCTGCGCTGTAGGCTGCTTAAATAGTGCGTTTTTGTGTTGGTTAAGTTCGTGTCGAGTCGTGTGTCCGACCCCTTCTTTAATGAACTTATTGTTATGAAAATGTTACACCTGTAATGAGTATGTACGCTATCTATTAGAGTATTTAAAGTTTATTGAAATTATTCAAAGAGGTTCTATATCACACTACGCGCGTTGTATATTGAATAATAATAACATGATAGTTATATAAAAATGTCACATATAGTATGAATTTGAATATATAATATGTTATTACAAAATTATAGTTTAATAAATATAGTTAAAACTTAAACATATGATTTATGTTACTACAAATGTTTTGTGTAAACACCACGCGTAGACTACCAAAGGGATGTGGACGACACGAAAACGAGAATCAGAACGGGTGAACCCTTTTTTGAAATTTAACACCACCACGACCCTTCCCTTACTAGCTGCAGTCTCCCAGGGCAGTACCCGACAGTCTGTTATTAAATGTTAACCGAGCCGCACGCACACTCCGGTTAGGCAGTCTGTTAGCCGCGTAAATTTCGAAATTATGTCTACTTTATAATTTGGTCGACAACGAGCAAACTTTGAACCATCAGTTATCAGCGGTCCTGTTAAAAGTAAACGGTAAGTAAATCTCACATCGTTTTATATTTTTTATGTGCTAGTGTTGTATAGTTTTTTCTGGACCAATTACGGTGATGAGACAACGTCTGTCTATAATAATTTGTTTCCATGGTTACTTATATCGTAATAATAATATAATGAAAATATTTTCAAATATTTGTTAACTGTTGATTCATAAACATTAGTGACCTAGAAATTTACAACGGTCAAAGTTTATGATCTTCTCTGTTTTTGGGTTTTCCTTAATATAAAAAAACTTTGACTACAGATTTTTTTTTAAAAAAACCGTACATGCTCTAGATCTATCTTCAGTCTAATATTCAGACCTTCAGTCCTAAAACTTAGAAACAAAGGAAAACATTTCTACCCCTTTTTTAAAATAAAAGTTTTATGATATAAGGTATAATAATATTTTTTTTAATAATACCACGTATAAAAGATAAAGATATAGCGACATAATCAGAATAAACAAAAATATTTAAAAAAAAAAACTATGCAGTCACAATCAACAGATTTAATTTTATAAAAATGATTGTGTTTGTTTAAAATGTATAATAATGTAATTTTTCAAATGGTTTTTTAAATATTTTTTCTATTTTTGTGACTGGACTCACGTTTACCCTGCGTTACTACTCTATACAAGTGTTACACCGCTGCTACTCTGGCTCTCCTGGACCCAGTTTTTCAAATTTACCTCAAATTCCCAAATATACTTCTAGAATATTTATTTAACATAGTAAAAACAAATTCCTTTTTTATTTATAATATACCGATAATATATACCGAGATTTGAACCACGGCTAGTGCGTAGAAACACTGCACAGTGGTCTAAAATCAAAAAACGGTGGCCAAAAATAAAAAAATAAAAATGGAAGATGTAATTTTTTTTTTAGGTTGTTACAATACTACTTAAGTTCTCTGAAAATTAAAATTAGAATTTAAAATATTGATTTGAAATTTTACTTACGAGTTGTTGAAGTTGGAAGAATCGAAAATAATTTGGTTGCTAATTCACGATTTTTATTATAATATATAATTATTTAAATTTTTTGGTAGTTAATTATTTTTTTAGGACAATTACATCATACTCAATCGTGATTTAAATGATTTTTTTCATCTAGAATGCATTTTACCCGGTGCATATTACAATTAGTGTAAAAACTCTTATTATAAAATCAAAAGATAACAACATTTTGCAGACAATATGTTATCGAATTAAAAAAAAATAATAGGAAAAAAGTTAAAATTATTTTGAAAAAGTAAAAAAAAGGTGATTTAAATCTTTAAATATTAGGTTTATAAAAAAAAGCTATGACATTGTTTCCAAAATCTTGTTATCCCCTCATTTTCGTTATAGGTATTTTGGTTTTAAATCGACAAGCAGCGATGGAACGCAATATGTGTAGGTATGTTTTAACGCTGGCAAATAAGATGTAATCGACGCGTCATAATGGGTACAATTTAAAATTATTAAACATAAATGTTGTCTTCTATTCTACTATACTGTTGTCTACTGTTGTACTAAAACATAAATAAAAAAATTCTCAAAAAGAAACATCACAAATTTGCAAATATTTTAAGAGTAAACTCTAGTATAGGGAAAGAATAACCCGGTATATACTATGGTAAAGAGGAGCGAAAACTTTGTTTATTAAATAGCAAAATATATGCAACAAATGACAAAAATCTATTTTGTAGCCATTTTAAATATACCATCTAGTTTTAAAAAGAAAAAATATTAAGTTTTTCTAGTTATACAACTTTAATTTTTTAAACGGATTTAAATTTTGTTTCATGTAGCTTACTATTTTCTCTGTTCGAGCTAAAATGCTGATTTTTGATGAAAAGTTATTAATAAGTAAAAACTTAAATGCTTTAATGACATTTTAAAAACAAAAATAAAAAATAGAAAATTTGCCGGTTTTTGTTCCATTTAATTTTAAGGTATTTAAAATAAAAGTCTTACTTGAAGTCGTGACTGATGTCGTATTCTTTTCTGTCTGGTATAACCATCGGGTGATATCGGATAGCTAACTGATGGCAGAAAATTTTATCCACTCTTGTTAAAGTTCCAACATTGACTACAACGCCTTTATCGGAAAAATTGAATATATGTACCGCCTCTGGGGTAGAGTAAGCGCGTAGAGCTATTTTTATCTGCGCGCATTACTCTACCGCACTCCACCTCCCATCGTACCCTTTAACGTTTAGTAGCTTAAAAAGTAATTATCAAAATCTAGTTATCGACCAGTCAACATTTTCATCAAACTAATCTTAGTAAAATGGCTATCTTGAACTAAAAAAAAAAAATAAAAACATTATTTAAAAAAGTAAAATAGTTAAGTGCAATAAAAAACGTGTTGCTTGTAGCGCAATTGAGTATAAATTGATAAAAAAAAAAAAATAAAAAAATAATATTTTTTTCGTAACGTACTTATATTTGCAACAATTTTTTTAATGCTTTTAATCTGAAAATTCTATTTGTTATCATTAAATGTTTTAATATAATAAAAACATATTTAAAAAACCAGTGCAGTGGGGTCGGGGCATAGTGGGGACGGGGAGGTCACAGGTTTACAGGAATTTTTAATTTTGAAAGTGATAAAATCACTTCCGAAAAACTCCTTTGATGCAAATCGGTAGTTAGATTTTCAAGCCAGTACAGTCCAAACCAAGCACAGTATAAACCAGCAAAGTTAGAAAGTATTAAATTGAGTGCATCTACTGTTTTTTTTGCAAAAACATAGTTGACCAAATAACACATATACTTGTTTGTCTTGTTATTTTACTATATGTCAATAAAAATAATAATACTCGGAACGACAGCGGATTGACACTCCAGATCAATGTTAAATCAATAACTGATTGTCGAATTACCGAATACCGACTACGTACAAATGTCATCACCCCCGACCTCTCTCTCATACACCATGGCCGGCTCGGTCCGATAAGGGGTTTTTCGTTCCCACCTGTACCGTGTACATGAGACGATGAACAGTTGATAACGCGACCAGGCTAATCGCTATAAACGTTTTCAAATAAATGTTCACTTAAAAATTACAAAATAAAAAACCGATTATCAATAAACAATATTATTTTAGTTTTGATTTTTGCAAAAAAAACTCTAATATTTTTGTATTAAACTTTTATCGATTATCACTTTACAAATGTCATAATACCTGAAAAAAAAATTGAATTTGTGTAAAATAAAAGTCAAAAGTGGTACTTGAGTACAAAACTTAGTAGTATCATTCTACATAGGTCAACATAAAATTGTTTTAATTATTTGATACATTTTTTTTTAAGATTTTAGGTCTGTTTGTTAAAATATACGCAATCTGCGAAAACACAGTTTTCAGGCAATTAAAAAAAAACTGTAGTGCCGAATTTTTTTTTCCGTTTTATTAGTAATGAATACATATGAGTTCTAACTACTGGCAAATTTTCAACCCAAAGGTTTTAAAATTACGGCTAAAAACCCCGAAAAACAAAAAAACTTGTACCCCCCTAGGGAGGTGGGAAATGGGTATAGTTTAAATTTGATACAACTGACGTATGCGGGCATACCAAATAATTATTTCTTATACATCTCAACTCGATCCGACTCTTTTTCTCGAAATCATAGCCAGTAAAAGTTCTAACTTAAAAACTCGTACGTTTTTTTTTTGTTTTTTCAAATTTCGTCTGTAAAGAATTAAACTTTTTCAACTTTTACCCCCCCTCCCCAAAGTACAAACTAGATAAAATTTGTGATTTATAGAGTTGCTATTCGAAGGAATTGGTCAAGTATTAAAAAAGTTACAGTGTATACAGCGAAAAAAAAGCCCACATCAGAGTAAAACCAATACCTTCTCGCTTTGCATCGAAGTTAAAAATTAAAGGTTACAATAATATTTATGGAAGACTATAGATAGGTTATTTTTATACAAAGTAGAAGACTATAATAAGTTCTACGTTTTAATAAGGAAATTAATTATTATTTTTTTTTTTTTTAAATCTTTTGTTGCATCAAATTTATTTTTTGCTTTACTAAAATCAAAACCTAGTTTTACGCCATAAGAAATAATCATTGGAAAAAAAACAATTATATATTTAATGTTGATTAATATAATGTATCACACCAAATCTAACTTAATTTATTATTAAATTACAAACGTATTTGTTTAATACAAATTCACAACGTTTTATGAGCGTATTACTTAATATTTTTATGTTTTTATTAAATTTCGACCATGTTGATTAATTTACCGGTTAATTTATATGAGCTTCATGGTATTATTTTTAATTTAAATAATTTTGTCTATGAGTAAAAGCCATTTTAGTTAATATAATAGTACATTTTTTGTCCATCGCACAGGCTGAACCAGTAATCCGATAAGTAATCTGAAAACAGATTTGAATTTGTCATGAAGTTTACTTGAGATCGGTCAGCGTACTTTTTTGATATCTTATTCCTACTACGCATAAAACACGTTTGAACATTTTATAAAATTTTAAATTTTAAAATCAAATTTGGAAAGGGTTAAAACTAAAAATTGAAAAAAGTGCTCTGACCGATCTCAAGTAAACTTCATGACAAGTGAATTAGTAAATTCATATCTGTTTTTTGATTGCTTATCGGATCAATGGTTCACCCTGTGCGTTGGACAAAAAATTATGTGTTTTGGCTGAAAAAAACGGTCGGTATCCAGGGGCCTTAAGCTGCGTGACGTTTTGGAGTTGCAGTAGGAGGAGAGGGATGTGGGTAACTTTCGGAGGGTAATGCATAGCAGCAATGCATCCCACCTGTTGCCCAGCGTTATTGATTTATTGCGGAGAAACGCACCCTACTGGTTTGACTTCCATTTATGGCTTTGCAGTTCTGGTAATATAATAATTGCATAATGATTTATACAGGGTGGCCCACAATTATTTGACAAATGAAAAAACTTTTGTTCTAGTGAATATTTTTAAGATTTTTTTTTAAAAATAATTTATACTCATTTGCGATATAAGCACCACGGGTTTCATTGCGCTTACCTGTTTTACTTTTTAAAATTGTTTTATTACATTTTCAATTTTTTTTCAAATTGAATTCATTTTATTCAAAATAATTTTTAAAAAAGAATGGGTGAAAATCTCAAAAATATTCACCAGAACAAAAGTTATTTCATTTGTCTAATCATTGTGGACCACCTTGTATATGAATAGTTACAAAACTCAAATATGCAATTAAATATTTTAATAAATAACTAATTTAGTAAAGTTTAAAACACGAATTACGCTACTAATTTGTATTTAAAACACTGTTGTTTTATTTGTTAGTATTTACTGTGGTTTGATTTAGTATAACATTACTCCTTAAAGTATAGTTCTAGAAGTATCGCCCCAATTTGTTAAGTAGATTTTTATACAAGAAACTATGTTTAACATTTTTTTCTGTAATGTTGATTTAGAAATTGAGTTAAGTATACTTGATTTAAATATTTTATCTTTATTTATAAATAATTAAACTTAACTGCTCTTGAAGATTTTTTTTTCTTTGATGCGGAGCTGAAAAGTTGTATTTACAATGATGTGTTTTTATTTATTTATTTTTTTTGTGTCTACCGGTCTTCTAAGCCACTTATCCGATTTTTTCGTATAGCAACTCTAAAGATTAGAAGTCGTAGCTGTTTGATAAATTTAAGAAGTGTATCCCTTTCCCTTTAAAAATGTATGTTGATGGTGTGTGCAAAGTATTCCGCATTGATACATTTTCCTAAAAACGTTTAATATCTTATAAAATAATGTAATTTAATGTGGAATTTAATTCAAAATAGTCTCTCAGCTCTGCATCGAAACTAAAATGTGATATTTGTGGTTGACACCGGCTAACACATTTTCATGTTAACAAAAATTGTTAAAATTAATTAATGTGGCAGATAAATTATCTGTTATATTTTGAAACTATCCTATTTTTTTGTATACTTCAAATAACAATTTTATTACCCATAAGGATTTGACCTTTCTGATATATATCTTCTGAAAATTATTATTTAAAAATAAATCCTTTTCAGAATCAACATTTGTTCTTCAGCGGTGTATAAGACTTTACTCTAATGATCATAATAGGGTATACCCTACAATTGTCAAAGTTAATCTCATACTATAATAATAGATGAAGTCCTAGTGTTCTATTTCTCACTTTGTTTAACGCACATAGTATTATATTGTTTAACAAATCTTTTGGACTTTATTTTAAAAAACAATGTATTTTGTTTCCGTAAAACTCTTGGAATGTTTATCAAACCCGGTTTTGACTTAATTAAAAATGATAATATTATATAAGCTAAGCACTTAGTTAAAAAATCGATACACATTTTATTTGTATTTACATCATCAATGTGACTTAGAAAATAATAAATATTATGTTATTATTTAACAAACAGCTAAGCAACTATGGTTATTATAGTTAAAAAAAAAAGTTAAGTATTTCAAAAACCCTAAACTACAAAAAATAATTAACTTTATTGTTTACGCGTATTTTAGTAGCAATGCTATCATTGTCAGGGCTTACAACAGATTTGGTCTGAACTTTTAAATATTTGGTTATTTTAATTCTTATCCATCATGTTATAAGAGGTTAGTGAAGTGTGGTGAAACCACCATTATATTTATATACCATTCGGTTCAGAAGAATGAATAAAATTTAAAGACAATTTGACGACAGTCAGTTTTGGTTCAAACAATGCTTTTTTTGGACTGTGATTGGTTTAGAATATGCAGATTTACACTGTACTAATTTTTTGAATAGATTTTTATTTTAAGTTATTACTAAAACGTTTAGTTAAAACAGCGATAGATATTTTGTTTATACGCGAAGCTATTAAACGTCCAAAGATGATATTTACAAATTATAATGTAAAAGTTCGAATTTATCATATTTTAACAAGTTTAATGACAAAAACCTTATAACTGTAAATAATACGTTATTATTTTTTTGTTTTTGCAGGAACCTCATTTACAGCCGTCAATTCCTGGGGGTCCTGCTGAAATACAACATTTCTCATTATTGGATTAAGACAGTTGTGGTTATAGTTAGTATAAACGAAATTACTGATAATTTTAAAATAATAATTGTTTTACCTTACCTTAGGAAACTTGAATAATGGCAACCGATTCTTACAATTTTCACTGACTGGCAACATATCTTCTGTTTTTAATTTAATAATCGTTCGTGGTAAGTATAGCCATAAATAATGATGATTAAAATAATTATTAATTTTTGTATTTTTTTAACGAACATAATTTACAGCGACCAATTTTTGTGACATGCGCTGAGTGGCTACAAGTCATCTTTTTTTAATTAGAATAGTCGTGTTTGGTGAGTATATACATAATAATTGGTTATTGTAAAATTTTAACTTTTTTTTTCTTCCCCCAGGAAGTATTTATTTATAGCAACCAATCTTATAGCTGCTCATTTCAACTATTGTAGTTATCAAATGGAGTATTTGCTGTCAATTCATAATCTGGAATAATTAAGAAATTACAAGTATTTCAAAGAATTCAATATTCTTTATGATTAAGGTTATAATATATCAACCTAACAAGATGTGGATTAAGTGGAAATTATAATTTGTTTATATACTTGTAATAAAATATTTGTTCATACATTCCAATACTTTTGAATATATTCTCCTAAATATATAAAAAAAAAAATTAGAAAAGGCAGAGTAAAAAAGGAGGAGAGTAACTACTCCAAAATTAATTTACTCAAAATTGTTTGTTGCGCCTTGGTTCCAAAAGAAAAGTCTATTTAATTAAATTGTATTTTTCATGGTCTCTTCGGTTTATTTAAAATCTATTCTAGGAGAGTTACTAATTTAAGGGAATGAAAATCCCTTTTACTGTTTTCTGCGGTAGGTAAATAGGGTTCCAGAAAAAAATGTTACCTAAAAACCATATCATAAAAATTGATCGGTTTTTAAAATAAACTGTGTACAATATCTAAAAGTTAACATTTAAACCTTAAAAAACTACCTAAGTGTACCTCAGGAAACTCTGTCTTATTTTAAATACGTTTTTATTCATCTTTTATTTAGAATGTACCAATGGGTTAAAATACTTTTTAGAAGTATCTTTTTACAAGACAATATATTGTAACTGTTACGCTCTAAAAATACCCTAGAAAAACTTTTACAACAAATATTTCATAGAAAAAGTTACTAGTTAAAAATACATTTTTTTAATTTAAAGCCCTCTACAGACAAAAGTTTTATTCGTGACGTGATATGCAAAAAGCATATCCAAAGTTTATGAATGTTTGTTTATCAATAATATTAGAATACATTTAACGTGCTTTTAAGTAATCTAAATTTTAGTTCTTGTCACTAATATTCCGTCTCTTTTTAGATTATACCGCACTATCAACACTAAACAATTAAAGAATAACATAAAAATAAGTTACAGTGGTTACAGACAAAAAAATCATTATAAAGTATGGTTTAATGTTATAAATTATATTAATAACTAACTAACTTAGAAAATGATTAAAGGTTATACATTATAATGCGAAATAAATTGGATACTCAACGTTTCTGGGCTCATAGAAGTTATTTAAGTACACACTTATGTTGGTCTGTTATTAAATAATACTATCTATAATATAATCGTTTTACTTTTGGTGTGTACATGCATATAATAAATATACATATAGTATATTTAATCTATGGTACATGTAAATATGCACTCCACAATGCAATATTTTAATTTGGTTTGTTGTTTGTAGGACACTGGATTAAAAGTGGACGCCTTGCAAAGAGCTAGTGGCCGTCTTTGTTAAATCAACCGATTTATGGAGCGCTTTCCATGCAGCTTATAACAATTAAAAAACTGGGAAAGCTACCTATCCCTAAGAAAAGATGCTTGGAATTGGGAATACCACTCAAAAAATTCTTCGATGCGAATTTTAGATGGTAATATTATTAAATATCAATATAAATTACAATATAGACATTAGGTATATGTGTTTATGGTGATAGGTTGTATGTATTTTCGGAAGACATCAATTTTCTCGAAAAATAATTAAAATTGTACGATTACTTAGCCGTCTACAGTTATAATAAAATAAAAATTGTTTGATGTTTGATAGAGTCCCACCAACCTAATCTAAAAAACAAAACTATAAAATTGACTCGAAAAAAAACGAAATTTGGAATATTATGGCTGAATTGGAACAATGAATGTTTTGAGAATGAAAAAAGTGAAATAAGATAGTTAAAGTTTCCAAGTAAATAAACACACCCCTGGACCTCATATCCTCGAAATTGGGCTTATTGAATTATCGGATGAATGAAAAACTAAACGTTTTAGAATCTGACCTTTGAGTAATTAAGCAGAGGATAACTAAAAACAACTTAAAAAAATAACAATTTTTTTTACAAAATTTCAATAATGAAAATGACACTATTTGCCAAATCACCCTTATAACTAATATATAAGCAGTTAGTGATACGTAGTTATAATATTATCTAATAGACTGGGCCAAAAAAAATGGTGCAATCGGTACAGTAGTAAACAAAGAAGATATTAGACTTTTTTCATTTTTTTTTTTGTACTATTATAGTTATTAGGCGGGACAAATTTAATGTATTTTTCAAAATTTTAACACCATCCCTTATGCGTTAAAACCATATCAACTTTGGATTTTTAAATGGTAACCCCCAATTTTTTTTTGATGATCGTGTTTATTTTTTTTAAATTTAATTTTAGGCGTAAAAACTAGGTAAATCGATTGAGTAGTTAACGAGCTACACAGTTTTAAAATTAAAGGGAGTGTAAAAAATAAATTAAATATCTTGGAGACACTAACATATTAAGGTGACACTTGACTGCTCTCTGTTATTATTTATTGACAATTAACTTTGACAATAGCTATAGTAGCGTTTAAAAATCATAACCGTACCAAACACTATTTACTTTAGGTAAATAATTCACCGATAGTAAATAATAATGATAACCGCTATATCGACTGACAAATATACCACCACTACACACTTTTACATTTATTTTATAAAATAGTAGGTATGTTTAATTTGTTATCAATACCTTGTGTATATTTTTCCAGCATTTAGCAATTATATGTTTTGGTTAATTTGACACATTTTGTTTATTCATGCGATTTGTACGTCTTAATTTCATAGTATATTATAATAATATAGTATCATAACTTACTAGATCTATGAACTTGTCAACATTTATTGTGTTTTAAATAATAACATTGATATTAAATATCCATAATCAATGTGAATACCAAGATGGAGTTTTGCTCAAGTGACAAGTCTATAAAACCTATAACCTTACTTATAAAATGTATGCACATCAAATATCAAAATTAAAGGTACTTATAATAATAATATGTTATTTAAAATAAATAGAGTAATTTGAATTATGCTTGATGATATTTTAATTGAAACTTTTATTCTTACAGTATTATGTCTTTGTTCTGAGAAACTTATAAATGTGTAGTTTTGTGTTTTAATATATTGGTATCTGAATTCAAAGAAAAAATATAAAATTTTTTATGAAAAAATTGAATCTTCAATCATCATTTACTGAATCAACAATAGGTAAGATAATGTATTTATTAATATAGGTGTATTGTATAAGTACATTTTTTTATTAGAAAAATATAATTAATCGTTTTTCATTATTCATGAACATATAAAATGTTTTTAAATAATAAGTTTTTTTGGATTACTTATGTTTATCATACTTAATATGTTTAATTAAAATGCGTTACTTAAAAATTAACGTTTGACTTAAAAATTATCATACTTGTATAATTATAAAAAATATATGTGTATACTGATATTTGTTGCTTAACCATATAATTATTTAAGTATCTAAGGAACTTATTTAATTTTTTTAATTATATGTTTCAGTATGTTCAATATTAATATGGACTATCTCAACTTAAATTGATATTTGTTATTGTCTACAACTACACTACTACCAACGTCAAATTTGGTGTATTATATTATTGTAGTCAATCAGTCTAATCTTATTCCATCAATACATTGTCAAATGTTGTGGTATTCAATTTTCAGTAAATTTATAGGTGTTTTATTTTAAGGTAAAATATATAAGATCATCAGTTTGCAATAATTTAGTTAATTTCTATGAATTCATCTCTAACAATTTATTTTTATTATTATTTTTTTTTAGTTACTGTGGCACACTATTGCAGATAACGAATTTCCATTAAGTCAGTAAGAAGAAAAAGATGGATTCACAAGTTCAAATCAAATATTAGACAACTATATATATTTAGTTATTCGGCTAAAAATGTAATTCAATAAAATAATTTAAAAGTACTTTATCATTTTAAAAGTGACATAAAGTTTTTAAACACACATATACTTAACATATCTATAATTATTATACATTATTTATTAATTATTAATGATGAATTCTTTATTTAATATTAATTTAATCTAAAATGCTGCTGAGAATGTTAATATTTCTAAAATATGTTATTGTCTTAATCCAAATCTTGAAATTATTTTCATGATGGCATAGTTTTGGCATTAGCTATTACAGAATTTATTGACAACTTTCTAGTGGTTTACGATTAAGTTTTTATAAGTAATAAAGTAAATAAAATTATAAAACACAAAATAGAAAAAAAAAATGTTAACTATTGAATTAAGTGTAAAAAAGTAAATTGAATGAATATACTTATAAATATTTTTTAACTTAAATATGTAAATGGAGATGGATTTCTTCTAGTGGGAAATTATCAAACAAACTTTACTGTCCAAGGTAACTTCCTATAAATACATCACTATATACAGCAATATGTTGTACCTCTATTATTTACAAGTTAATTATAGATATGTTAATTTTATTTAGTCTTAGTTTTTCAATATGATTTAGCAAATAAAAATGTTTATTCGTATCTTATAAGCGTATTATTTATCTTGTTACTTGTTTTTTATTTTACTATTATCATAATAAACATAACATAATATAGTATTTAAATGTTTGTTAGTAATATTATTATTGAATTTTAAACTTATGACTGTTAAAAAAGCCATACAAAAACAAAAAAAATTGTACTTTTTCATTGTCACTCTAAATTTTTGTTTATACCTCGTACAACGAAAAAAACAATCATTTATTAAATAAAAAACATACTTTTACTCTTCATATTATGAACACATTAAAATAAGTAAGAATAGTCAATACTATGAAATATATACAGTATAATATAGTAGTGTAATATAATAAAGAGTTAATAAATAAATACAGCTTTTAATAATTAAAAATACTGAACTAGAAATAGTTAAAATTAACGCGTTACAACTTTAAATTATAAAAATGAAAATTTATTTTAGTGCACAAGTATTGGATGAACGTATTTCTTATGGAATCCTTTGTTATCTAAACATTTTAAGAAACACACTAGATGCCTTATAAAGATGTTGTTTGACATCTTAAGTACCTATCATAACCAGTTCAGACAAATGCTAAAATAGTTTCTGTACATATTAAGTTTAGTTTTTGTTTATTTCTGTATATATTCTGTACATATTATCTATTAACTGTATGTAATACAACATTATACTAAAAAAACAAAAAATTGAATGTTATTTATTAAAGTTTTTTTAAAAATATTTTCACTAACAGAATTAATAATTTGACTAGTTAAGACACCAGTACAAGTAACACTTATTAAGACCAAGACGCTAAATATTTAAAGTAAAAACCAAGACGCTAAATAACCATAATCATTGAAAAATTAGAATAATGAACTTTTTTATTAGTTTTCAAGTAGTCGTATTTTTATAATAATTTGTTCTGTGTTGATATTAATCTACACTAGTAACGAATCGTTTTGGTAGAACCACGGTATATACTCTATATAAGACCGTGATTAGACCACGGTAACCTATGGTTGAAATTGAAAAAAAAAACTATTTACTAGGGCTCATAATATTGTTTGTTAACAGCAGCTAATGCCTAATATTCAATACGTACAGGTACACCGCACCGCTAGGAACACTACAGAAAAAACAGATAAGAAGACATTACCCATATAATATTGTTATAGATTTATTATTAGTTCGTTTTCATTGTGACCGACGACCGTCAACTATTAACTTTAATCTACAACCGTATCGTTAATCAATCTTATTTTGTGAAACGTGAGATCCGGCGATAAACGATTTTTTTCTTTAGCTGTAAAACTTATAAAAGCATCTCATATAAGCTAATATTATAATATTGTAGTACTAAGCTATAACTTTAAAAGTACTTGTCTGATTTAGCTAGTTTTTACGCCTAAAATTAAATTTAAAAAAAATAAACACGATCATCAAAAAAAAATTGGGGGTTACCATTTAAAAATCTAAAGTTGATATGGTTTTAACGCATAAGGGATGGTGTTAAAATTTTGAAAAATACATTAAATTTGTCCCACCTATTAACTATAATAGTACAAAAAAAAAAAAATTAAAAAAGTCTAATATCTTCTAAGATATTGAGTGGTCCATAGTTAACCAATCACCCGGTATATTACAATTAGAGGAGGAGTGGCCGAGTGGGTAAGGTGGCAGTGTGTTAGCGCTTACTGTCGCCGGTTTGACACCCGGTCACAGGCACTCCGTTTGCTGGGCGAGCAATCGTCCGGTAAAAAGGAACCGCCATCCCCCTCCTCCGGTGACGGATTGACGACCCGTCCCGGAAGCGAATTCGTCAAGAAACCATCTTGATGGCAGCATTGGGCCTTAAAAGGCCCGCTAAGCTTGATGGTTTTATATATTACAATTAACTAAAAAGTGTTCTACTTATTGAAACCTACTCCTAGTTTTCCGTTACAAATGTTGGTCGTTTACGGTGTTTTGTACGCGGTCATCCGACCGGTGCACTACAGTGATAATTATTATGATTATTGCGTTTGATTTTGGAAATTGGGCGCCAAAACCAAAATAGGACTCCGACCGGTCACACTACTTGTTATGTAGACGATTTGAGGGGAAAAATGAAAAAAAAAATTTCTGTCGCCAACTAATTTTGGAATAATTGAGTTAAATTAAAAAAAATAAACTCCAGTACCTCAATAAACTACAGCACCGACTAAAACGACCAAAGGGCACCGGTCTCACTACTTTTCGGTTTACCCAAGGCGGTTGTGAATCACAACACGTGTTGGCAATATAGTAACGTTTACCGAAACCGGAGACCTCTGGTTTGACGGATTGACTTGTAAGTATACCGTCTTGAAAAATAATTGACTTGAGCGACGATTGACGGCGGGTGAGCACACCGCGGCACACGTGATCCAATAATACATAATATATTTTGTCAGCCAGACACCGCGCAGACTTATATGTAGACCTGTGTATATAGTTCCAAGTATATAAGTACTTGCACAAGACCGGTGACGTGTTAACGTATACAACGATTTGTTTTTAAAAAATCGATCAGCACATAAAAAAACACCACGACGTCGTCGTGTCGGCGATGATAGCGTAAAATCCTCTAAACAATATTTCCTTATAATAATATTACTATGACGTATCTTAAGACAATCTTAAGATCATGGGCCGTCGCGTACTACCGCACAGCTGAAAGAATATTGTGACACACACTGCAAAAGCAATTACTTTGGGTAAACAACGATTTGAAAAGTTGTAGTAACAAATCGAGTTTCGTTTGCTTAGAGTTGTTTTCTACTCAAATCTTTACTACTAACCTAACCGCCACCACGTGGTATAGGTAGGGTTAAGCGGGACAAATGTAAAAGCGTTTTTTTCAAATGTCAGTAAAAGTATTGAGTTAAAAGTAATTGTCGACGGTATCTAAAAATAGCTTCACTACATATGTTCTGTTGTATAACGGTATTAATAAAAAAGATCCGATAACATGCGATATTTCTACAAAATATATTTGCATAAAAAAACAAACTAGTAAACTTGTGAAATACAAAATCATTTTATGATTGTATAAGTGTTGTATATGTGTATAAGACGGTTACGCACCATGGCTGTGGTGTACAGCTACTTGGAGTATATACAATTATTTTGTACAAAAATAATATAAGTTATGTGAAAATTGTTAATGTATGATAACATTATATGATATGTGAACGTTTCAAATGAATAACGATATAAATTACAATGACACTGACGATTATCCATACTAGAAACAGCGGCAGAAATACCATGATGGTCAGTAGTTTCAGGAACAGTGCATAAGAAGTCAATATAAGTATCAAAGGTGCAATAGCCGTGAGTAAGAGTACCAGTATGACAATACTAGCAAAAATCAGCACAATAGCTACTGCACTGACCACAACTCCGTAACACACCTTTGCGAATAGGCCTTTGCCCATTTCTCGGATGCCAGTCAGAAAGGTCGTTCCAACAACCTGTTAAATAGATTTAAAGAATACAGCGATAGAGTAAAATTCAACAATTAATTTTAAACTTACAAGTTCTGGTCGGTGGGGTAGGTATATAACTGTTAAAAACAAAATAATATGTAAATTTCTATGAGAAGTTTATTACCTGTGTGTCGACCTGCAGGATCGGCAAATTTGGTTTTCCAAATTCAATAAGTGAAGTTCTGTCAAGGTTTTTGACTTCGGGCAACACCATGCCAAAACCCGGGTAGGAAATCATATGTGCACTGCAGTGTAAATGGCGGCTGTCCATCGTCAAATTCCAAATGACTTGTTCTTCCTTATATAACTTTTTGAGAGAGGTATTTTATATTTTAATAGATTTCGGAGAAACTTTTAAGCACAAAATATTTAAATTTCTATGAGAAGTTTATTACCCGTGTGTCGACCTGCAGGATCGGCAAATTTGGTTTTCCAAATTCAATAAGTGAAGTTCTGTCAAGGTTTTTGACTTCGGGCAACACCATGCCAAAACCCGGGTAGGAAATCATATGTACACTGCAGTGTAAATGGCGGCTGTCCATCGTCAAATTCCAACTGACTTGTTCTTCCTTATATAACTTTTTGAGAGAGGTATTTTATGTTTTAATAGATTTCGGAGAAACTTTTAAGCACAAAATATTTAAATTTCTATGAGAAGTTTATTACCTGTGTGTCGACCTGCAGGATCGGCAAATTTGGTTTTCCAAATTCAATAAGTGAAGTTCTGTCAAGGTTTTTGACTTCGGGCAACACCATGCCAAAACCCGGGTAGGAAATCATATCTACACTGCAGTGCAAATGGCGGCTGTCCATCGTCAAATTCCAAATGACTTTATCTAGTCCTGACTGGCACGTTGTTCCAATCAACACAACGACCATCAACACAAAAACAGTAAAATACAGTTTAAACATATTGTATTAGCTGTAAGAAATTCTTTGAAACAGGAAAAATTAGCAAAAACAGTTTGGAGAAATATGTTGTTTTACACTGAAAGGGTGCGGTGAAACAAATGTAATATTAACATCAATAATAACAGTTACTATATAAACAAGCCGTTTTAATACTATATGTACCTATATTAAGAGTATTTGCCAGCATATAAATAAGTATATAATGTTCTTTAAATAACACATGTGCTACTTTTCCTCTTTTGAGTGCCGTATTCGTATATGTTAGACTT